TAAGTTAATTTGAAACAAATTCTGGAACAAACAGATATTTTTTATTGCACGTGCCAAAGCCTTGTTTTTAAAATGGTCAGAACATTAAGATGAGGCAGTTCATAATTATCCTAGAGATTACTTAATAATTCTTATTACATTGGAACTGACCAGATCACTTTCTACAAGTGAGGTCAGAGTACTGTAATTATCATTAAGAGACTGCCTGACCTAGGGAATTGACATGGTATATGAGTTTTCTCAACTGAGGGTCTACTTTATGCATAAGATTGTTCCAAAGTTAGAATCATCCTAGTGAACCATAGCAGTAAAATGGGATCCGTCTGTGCGTGCTGAGGAATGTGCCATCTCCAAATAATTTGTTTTCTTTGAGCCCTGCTTCTTGGCCTCCTCCATTCACGTCCCCACATTGCCCAGCACAGCATGTGCACCCAGGCCAGACAGGTGGATGCTTTCTAGACGAGGACTGAGTAGAAGGGAACTGGGTTTGAATACGCTGATATGATCAAAGCCTTCCCTATTCTCTACTCCGTAGTGCCTCTACAAATAGACTTCTGTGCAGGCCAACAAACATTAGTCACTGAGCTATTACTACAAAAACGAGAGACGTAAAACTGTATTTTGGTGATCAGGATGATAGGAAAGACAAGTTTAAAAGCATAGCACAATGATACATGGGTTTAAGTATGTGGGCTCTGAAATCAAATCGCCTGGGTTTTCATCCCCACTCAAGCTGTTTGAAATGAGAGAGGGAGAGAAGAAAAAAGTATATGAGAGATTTTTAGCTGAAAATTTTCCAAATTTGATCAAAAGCAGCATCCCACTGGATCAAGGAAACTCAGCAACCCCCAAAAGCCTAGGGACGGGGTGTAACGGGCTTGTCCAGAGGTGACTGTTGCCATAAGTACCTGCAGACTTGCAGTTCGCACTCTCATCCCTAGCCTCCACTATTTCCACTTATGTGTACCCCTTTACAAGTACACTGATTAGAGACTCCTACTTTAGCAAGAGTTAACTTTTGATTGGGAAAAAGAGAAAATCTGAGAAACAGACATTTGAGAAATGCTGTTGGAGCTGTGCCCTAGTGGAACTGGACCGCAGAGGCAAGGGGAGAGGGTAGGAAAGCTGAAGAATGCGTTGGAGGCTGAAGGAGTGGTTACATGGAGATTTAGGACCAGCAGAGATGAGGAAGTTGTCTGACACAAAGACAAACTTTGTTTAAAACATTGACCAAGGGCAAGACTTCCATCCAGGAGAGGACGGGGGAATATTTCCTTTCCTGTTCTCTCTCTGACTGAATCACAAGACTACCTCTTCCAAGACCCGGCACCAGGGTTGTTATACTCTAAATGACACATCTGAGTGCTGTAAAACGGGTTTTATGGCAGTAATTTAGAAAGAAAATCATCTCTCCTTAAGCGCTTTGAAGTACAAAGCATTCGAATGTTGGAGTTTTTGCTGTGTTTTTATTTATTCTCAAGTTCACTCATTGTTAGAAAATACCAGTAGCTTAATTCCCAAGTAGATCTTTGACTCCCAAATTTCCCCCTCTGAATGGTTGAGTCATTGAGCTCTCTGTGTGTCTACTACCAATGGGCAGCTCATTGGCCCTATTCAGCCTCTCCCAAGCTTTGGCAATGGGAGGTCTGTTACAGAGTTACATTTATAATGAACAGAATTGACTTTAAAAGGAACCAAGCAGAGGAGATAGGTGCTGGATGCATTTATAATGCCCAGATCATTAAACAGATGTACCCAGTAGATGGGCCAGAGAAAGAAAGGCAGTCGAACTCTGTAAATGCTACCCTAGGATAAGGACAGACCTTAGAGTTTTCCAGAATGGTGAAAATCTGAATCTTCTTTGTCACTTTCGTACCTAGTCTTTTTTGGATCCGTAACAGCCACCAACCAATCCCAGCCCCTCTCTGCTATAATCTCAGGGTAAATGCTAAAAATATTACCCAGGCTTCATTTTTACCCCAGATCTATTTTGACTAGCACTGCCTGCAACTGTTTACACGGAGGGAACAGGGAGTCAGCCTACTGTTCCTGACATGCATTTTAATAAAGCACCTGACGAGTTCAGCAGGAAGGAAAGAAACACTGTGCACAGGTGTGAGGAAGCCAGAGAAAGGTGGATCCTGTGTCTCCCCTGTCTTGCTCCCAGTCCTCTGGCTTGGAAGTGCCTCCCTGCCTCCAGCTTGAGCTCTGAGAACGGGGCCTCGGGTTCCAAATTAATCCCCCTGTGCCTCCAGTGTAAGGAAATCTGTCATAACCCAAATGCTGCCTTCCCCCTCACAGAAGGCTGTTGAGAAGGGCTGTTCCCGGCTGCATCTCCATGGAAATGTGTGACACGTTTGTTGATGAGTTGCCTGTCTCCAGATGGACATCTTCATTCCCAGCACCAGCCTTTGACAGACCGTTTTTAAGTGTTTGCTTTGTACAAATTGCAGCTTGTCTGAGGGTCTTGCTTGCTTTTTTGTTTTATGCCATGGTGGATTTTGCGCAGTGTGTTGTGTAAGTAGTAATGATAGGTCTGGCTTTGTAGTCTTGGCTGTTTGTTTCTCCTTCCTTTGGATGCAGTCAGATTGTGTTCCTTTAACACCGCCTGCCTTGGCCAGCCAGCCGGGGTTGTTAATGACATGTTAAAACCTATGTGCTTTCTAAATTGGTGGAGATTCTGTCTTGATTGAAAAAAAGGAAAAAGAAAAAAATTTGGAGTAATGCTTTTGGAATAATGCTGCTTTGAAAGTCACATTGCCAGGAGCTTTTCCATTTCCTTGGAGAAAAATACTAGAAAAATATTAATAGTTTGTTCATTGCTTTCAATTCATTGTGTTCCCTGGAGGGATAAGAAAATGAAGACAAGAGTATTGCCAGGGTGCTCTGAGGGCATCTACACTGGCCTGTGGCCTGGTAGACAGGAGAGGGCAGTGAGCCAGGGAGAGTAGGTCCTCTCTAAAGGGCAGAGACCTCTTGCTATGCAGGGTGCAGAGGACCATCTGGGTCTTTCAGAAAGATTCTGCTCAGGTCCTAAATTATCATGTGCTCTTTCTCATCCTTTCATGTGTGGGTTGGATCCTATAGACAAAGAATCCACTGGAACTGTGATATACCTGTATATCATATATGTATGATATATGAGCTTTACTTGTATCTTATATATACTAGAGATGACATGTATGCTACTTATATTTAAATAATCAGAGATGCACCAGAAGCAACTAGGATCACAATTACATTCAGTTATTAAATGTTAGTAATTATCTAGAAGAGCCATGATTTATAATATTAATGTCCCAAACTGAAGTTGGGAGGCCAACTTTTAATTTTTTATTTTTCATCTTTATTTTTATATCTCTATATTGTATTGGAGGTATAATTTGTGTCTTTTCTTTTTTAACTAACAGTTGTTTTCCTGCTTCTGAATAAATAATCCTTAATTAAATGTGTTGATAATATTAATCTATTTACATTTTTCTCTTCTGAATACCAAATTGAATTGTGGAAAAATTTTATGTTGTAGTTGTGGATCAGAATCCATCGATTAATTTAATACACTTAGGACTTTGAATTCCTAAAGGTCTTATTACTGTAATCTCACACCAGTCTCCCAATTTTCTTTTAGAAAAAAAGCAGAATTAATACCTACTTTGACTTATCAGGTGGAAAAAAATAATTGGCTTAGCCTTGAACATGGAGTCTTTATGCAGAGATATGCAAATGTATTACCTTCATAAAAATGATAATTTTGAGAAACCTTTTAACAGCATAATTACATGGATAACTGTTACTATAACAAGTATCTTAAGGAGTAGTGTGTTAAGTAGTGTGAAGACACATGAAACTACATTAGAAGATGGTATTATATATAATAAAACAAGAAGCTCTATAAGAATATAGTCATTATACCCAATTAGTTGTAGATAACAGGAAAATAATTACAACTTATTAAAAGGAAATATGAACTTTCTTAGTGATAGACAACTGTTCTTCATAGTTAGACCCATACTGTATGCTAGGCAATTGTGAGATTGTTGGATGGTGAATTTTTTCCCCCACAGATTAAACTAAAAATGACTCAAATCCATGCTTTTTTTGTTTTATTTTGTTTTTTGACAGAGTCCCACTATGTAGCCCAGGCTGGCCTCAAACTCACAACAGTCCTTTTGCCAGCAGAGGGCTGGGATTACAGGCAGGCACCACCATGCCCAGCTTCACACCAATGTTTGAACTTAGCCCAAGTCATTTCCTGTTGACAGGAATATGAAGAAAGTATCATCGTCATCCTGGAGAAGCACTTTAGCTGTGAACTTTCCCGAATTTGTCCAATGATGGGCATTGATAGTGGGGTTTATGTCCTCTCTTTGGCTGTTGGAAAGTCTAGGTCCCATCCACAGCCCTCTACACTCTCCAACCTTGAAAGATAGACTTACTTATTAGATCAGTAGATATTATGACTCAATATGACTGTGACTTTGCAGAGAAATTGAAGTATTTATGTGTATAAATGAGAAATATATGAAGTAATTGCAGAATGCTCAAATTTAGCATAAGGCTCATCAAAAGAAAACTTTCATTTCTCATTTGTTGATGCCTATTTATCTGTAGAACTCCTTAGTCATAAGTAGTACTTCATTTTTCTAAAAGAAGAAATGAAAGCATGTACGTACTTAGGCCGTTATGTGATGGGTTCCTGTGTGTGTGTATTCCAAGTGGTCTTTAGACACAGAGTAACTTGTTTTCTGTAAGAACCAGGCAGTGACACCTTCATTAGCTCATCTGTGATGCTGAGCTTCTTCCAGCACACAGAGGAGCATACCTGCTCAAAGGGTCCAAGGTGTCGGGTTAAGCTTCTCTCTCACTGTTCTACGTGAACCACATAGAACGACCTTAATGGAAAGGTGCTAACAAATTACCCTATTTGGCTCTTATAACTGAGACTTTTCTATCATTGAGGAAAAAAATTTTTAAATGTGATTTCTTTTTCTGGCACTCAGATGAGTATAGGATCAAACCAGTGGAAGAGGTCAAATACATGAAAAATGGGGCCGAAGAGGAGCAGAAAATAGCAGCCAGGAACCAAGAAAACTTGGTAAGAATTGAACTTCTCATTTAACAATAAATTTTGGTGACACCGTTGTAATAGAATCTGTACTGCATGTTTAAACAGCAACTTACACACTGGCACAAGATTTCTTGAAAATGCTGCCACTATTTATAGCTTGCCTGGAAGCTGCACCATTCCTCCTATATCCTGTTTGTTTCTGAATAAGCCACTCTTTCATCTAGATAGAGCATGCTCCAGGGAAAATGCAGCAAAATTATTAATGTTTTAAAAGACCTAAATTTGGGGGTAGGGTAAAGCATGACGTAGGATTGAGATTGAGAATGTTTTTCCCCTTCCACCTCTTTTAACTCTTATCCAGGTCAGGATGAATGGAAAAGTTTAATTATTTTAGGCATGCACTATTGAGGAAGTTGCCTTTCAAAGGAAAATAATGTACTTTCAAGGTAGGTCTCTATCCAAAGAGTTAGTACTTTGCATTTACAATGTTAAAAGTGTTGTAGGTTTTGACTTAGTGTGAGATATGCAGTGATATGAAATGTCATAATATGAAATAGGAAGTTAAGAAACTTTTAAAAATATGCATCAGTATAGACATTATACTTCATTTTTCATCGTCTCTGTAGAAATATCTAGCTAATTTGCAAATTAGATGATTTCGTAGAAGTTACAAATTGTGAAGATATGCGTTTTATTCAGTTGTATTGGAGCAAAATGATCTTTGTTTATATTTGGCATATAGTATATTCTTTGACTATTTGCTTTCTGTCATGACTGTGTGTTTTCAAGAAGTCTGCAGTATTACAAAATATTTTCATTTCATTCAAGCTCTCCTTTCTCTCTTATGTGCTCTGTTTTTATTTTAATGATTTTTGCTATCACTGAGGGATTTGGCAGAATATTAACCAGTACCCATGAGTATTTTGGGCTATCACTTTCCATGATGTTATTGGGATTATTAGTCTAATTTTTATGCTTTATTCATAATACTGATGTACCAACTACTAAATATTTTAGATCATTTTTTTAAATGAAAATACTCTAGATAATGAAATGTTACTTCATAAATCAGATTTGGTTTTTGAAGTATAATTTCAGTGACAGTCATCATAGCTATATAATTATATATTTTAAGAACACTTAAATTTAGCTATGATTAAATAGTAAAAGTTAATGCTATCAGATTTCATATATAATTTTTTTTTAATGTTTGGATAAATCAATGACCTGAGCAGATAAAATATCTGCTAACAGATTTTGGCCTGCTTGACACAGTTTCAGCTTGAGTTATAAATGTCATCTTAATAATATGGCCATTGGAGGTTGCAGAGATACTGGCTTCTTGGATCTGATTGGTGCTGTGCATGTGAATGTCGCATAATTATATCTCAGGACTCCTAAAAGAAGAAACACCTTCCATCACCTTTTCCCTCAATGTGCTTTCTTCCTGTTTAGCACCACTACAATTTTTTCCTTCAATTTAGTGCAGTTGTGCAATCTGTCAACTATGTGCTAGTGTATTGTTTGTCAACACTGTGGTCAGAATTAGCATTGGAGCCTTTCTGTGGATACTGAATGGAGACTGGAAAAAGAGGAAAAGCTTGTGGTCGTTCTTTCCTGCATGTTACCTGTGACAACTCCCACTTCTTTACCAGCCAGTCAGGGTCCAGGCCATTGATGATTTTTCAGTTACGTGAAGGTTTGCTTGGGGAGTGACAACTAAGTGGTTATCTTTGATTTTGAAATTACCAGCCTGCTTTCTGAAATTGAAAGTGACTTTCAGCTATATAGTAGTATAGGTTCTTTGTTACCTACAATATCCTTTGGGGTGCATGATCAACTATTGGCTATCCATGTTGTTTTAAAAAAACTAATAGCCTCCTAAACTTAAAGTTTACACTGGAAGGTGGGTGAAATAGATTTAACACTTCTTTATTTTCACCGTCTTTAAGACAATCTGTGAGTTTAGAAGTTTTTATCTTTCAAACAGTGGTTCTCGGTTGTAAACGAGAGTGTTTTTTAAAAATACTTGTTAGCCACACGTGGTGGTACATTTGTTAGCCTCATTTGGGAGGCTCAGGCAGGAGGATTGCTGCAAGTTTGTGGCCAGCCTGGGCTGCATGGTGAATTCAAGGCCAGCCTGGGCTATATAGCAAGACACTGTCTCAAAAAATAAAAAAATAAAATATAAAAAGATTTGTTTACTCACTGTTGAAATTAAGGGGCTCAGCATACTCAGTGAAGGCCATATGGCATGATGGTGAAGACTTTGGGCTCTGGAGGCAGAAACTGCCTGGGTTGAAATCTCAGCTCTGCCAGTTGTTCATTGCAGGATCAATTTACTTCACTTCTTTAAATGTACTATGCATAAAAATGGGGGGGAAACAGTGCCTTCTTCCACTGTTGTGTTACTTAAGAAAATGGTTAAGACTCTGAGTGCAGCACATAATAGAAGTATTTGCAAGAGCTAGGCATTGTCAGTCAACAAAAGAAAAGAATAAAGAATGTTATAGATCAGTTTCTTTTTCCTTTATGGTAATTTATGAGAGATCTCTAAATGAACACTTTAGGTGAATGACAGTATTACATGTATTTTGGGAAACCTTGCTCTAGAACTATGAAGTGATTTAAAAAGGATTCTTTGAATACCTTTTATGTAGAAGGCACTTACTAAGTATTGAAAGATACAAGGTGCTGCAACTCAAGCTTCTTAAGAAGCTTACAGTAAAGTTGAGAAAACAATTCAATTCAGCAAATATTCATTGATTATCTCTTGCATACAAGGCACTGTACTAGATTCTGCAGAGAAACAGAAAAAATAAGCCATCCCCCCACTTCAATGTGCTCAGGTTACTGTTGACGGGGATAATACCAAATGACTATAAATAAAACAGGCTAAGACTGAATTTCAAGAAGTAGTGTTGCTACAGGAAACGGAGATCACATCTCTTGAACTAGCAAGATGTCCTTCATGAATGAGCTGTCACATATGACGGCCCTTGAAGTAGGAAATGACCACAAATGCCCCAGGCAGAAGTGGCAGATAGAAAGCATAAAAGAAATACTGCTGTTTGACTGGGGAGTAATAGAGGAAAGAAGAAAGTATTAGTAGGGAATGAGTGAAAGAGCACAATTAAAATGTACACAGGGCAGCAGATAGAGCCTTAATGTCCAGCAGAGAAGTCTGAGATTAATGCACTAGATGAAAGGGAAGATTCAGATGTCTCTAGGTCGGGCAATGGCAGGATATTGTAATTCAGGGAAGTCTGTATGGCAGCAGCAGGTGTGATGTATATTGGCATAAGGAGCCAAGACAGAACTCTTGTCATAATAGTTTTAGTAAGAGGCAGGGCGCCCGAACCAAGGTGATGGCAGGGAAAAATAGGAAAGACTTGGGTAAAGTTGCAGAGGTCAAAACAGTAGGACTTGACAGCTCATTAGATGTTAAAAGAAGGCAAAGGCATTAAGAGATAATGGTGATGCCATTACCCTGACCACCTGGAAACACAATGGATTTGTGGCAATGAAAGTAAGGCCTGAATGACCTCAGTGAAATGGTGAAATCAGTAGGAAGATTGTGCTTGATGAAAATGTAATGTGCTTATTCATTCATGATTCATTTTTGTCCACCCTTAAAAAGGTCATACTGTGGTACACTAACAAGCCATGATACAATGTACTGAGTACATAAAACACTGGTGACTTCCAGATTCTTATGCTCTGTAAGAATTGGGGGACACAAAAGCACAGGACACCTAACTCCCACCTTTGTGAGCTCCCTTTCTTTTAGGAGACAGAAGGTTTGTGGCCTAAATGACCACAATTCAAGGTGCAGTGTGAAAGTCAGGGTTGGTTTTCAGCAAGCAAAGCTTCAGGAACTTGTAGAACACCCATGTAGAAACATCCAGCAGAAGGATGGGAAGGATGGTGTGGGGATCAGTAGCTGGGGACACGTCATGTACTCGATATGTTCTTGCTGCCTAAGTAAATGAGTTATCCGAGCTGGGCCTGCAGGTGTACTTCGGATTGGGTTGGCCACTTTGAGTACATGAGAGAGCCAAAAGGGACAGGAGTCAAAGAGTGCGTCCTGGGACACTGAGACCCACTTCAGGACCCACCCTGTGTGGTCTGTACTCATGTGCGGTTTGCGTTTATCCCTTCCACTGCCCTCTGCTCACAGTATCCCTCCACGCTGGTGATCCTTCGCTTTTTCTGAGCCCTGGACTTGCATGGTCAGAGCCCAGCCTGGAACCTGCCTTCATCATTCCTACTCTACCCTTTAATTTTTGCCTGGTTTACTCTTACTTGGCTTTGAGACTGCAGCTAATTGTTTCTATCTGAGAGAAGCCTCTGCAGACCTCATCAGTTCTGTTTGTTCTCCTTTGTTCTCTCTGATTACATTTGTGGTCTCCTATATAGTATGCAGCACAACTGTTTTGTAACAAATGTGAATAATTTGCATCAGACGCATTCCTCTCTTAGACTATTAGCTCCAGATGCTAAAAATCTTATTTTTTGGCATGTAAGTTAAGTATGTAGCACCTAATAGTACAGTACATAGCACTTAGTAGTTGTTCAATAAATATTTAAGACTTCCAGTAAGTTGAGGCCTTTGGCTGCCATTCCTGTGGCTAGAGATCATGCTGGATTTCTGAAGCGGATGATGAATCATTTCTGTGTTAGTCATTTATACATTCTCAATTTGAAGATATGCATTTATTCCAGTTTTCATTATTGTTTGACATCCATGTATCTCACTTTAGCATCTTTCAGACTTTAATTCTTTCTTAAGGGAGGTAGTATAAAGAAGGGTTGACTTATATTTTGATAAAAAAAGATGATATATCTGTAAACCATAAGTTCATAATTTCTTTATCACTTAGGCCAGATATCTAAAGCTTCTAGACTCTGAATTCTTCATCTGGAACCTGAGAATCACCATATTATTAGAGTATTAGAAGAAAATATTTAATATGGGGATATGTTTAGCATTTTAGCAAAAAGAGACTTCCTTAACAAAGACATAG